GCAACTCGGATTTTCAATTGAATATTAACAATAATTTAACGCGATCCGATCAAGAAGTTGCTATGACTTTTGAGAAACATTTTACTGATGTTCCTTGTTTGACAACAAAATCATTAAATTCTTCTCCTACTGTCGCCGAATCATTGCTCAAACAAAATGTAAAGGCTTGTTCAAATACTTTTAAATTCCATAGGGTACTGCCAAAAGATATCGTTAAATATTTTAAAACTATTGATGTTAAGAAAACGGCAGGCTTATGGGGGATTTCCGTTAAAGTTATTTTATCTATAATAGATATATTAGCACCTTATCTAGCCACTATATTTAATATAAGCGTCGAATCTGGTATGTTTCCTGATTTAATGAAACATAGTTAAGTCATACCTATATTTAAATCTGGTAGTACATTAGACCCCGCCAATTTTAGACCAATTTCTGTACTACCAACATTAAGTAAAATTTTTGAAAAAATTCTTTAATATTAATAAATTGCTACATAATAATCAATTCGGTTTTACAAGGGGTCGCTCGACAACTGACGCTGGAGTTGAGCTTATTAAACATATTTTTTGTGCATGGGAGAATTCAGAGGATGCTTTGGGTATATTTTGTGACCTTTCCAAGGCCTTCGACTGTGTTCACCATGAGACATTAATCAGGAAGCTACAGTACTATGGTGTCAAGAACACAGCGCTTAAACTTATCATTTCATATTTAAGTAATAGAAAGCAGAAGGTTATTATCAATGGTAAAAGTTCTTCCGGGTCACCTGTACTAATGGGTGTACCTCAGGGCTCGATTCTCGGCCCATTCCTGTTTCTGGTGTATATTAATGACTTACCTCACCTTGTAGGGGATAGTCATGATATAGTATTATTTGCTGATGATACTTCCTTGATTTTTAAACTTAAACGTCAATCATTTAAATGTGACGAAGTGAATAATGCTATATCAAAATTAGTGCATTGGTTTAACGTTAATAATCTGCATTTGAACGGAAATAAAACTAATTGTGTTAAATTTACAACAACGAATGTTCAAAATCTGAATACCAATGTGTTTTTAAATGGGGAGGAATTGAGCCCTGTTGTATCCACCGTTTTTCTTGGCATCACTCTTGACGCAAAGCTCCAGTGGGGCCCCCATATATCCAAATTAGCAAGCAGACTAAGTTCTGCAGCCTATGCTGTAAAAAAGATTAGAGGTCTCACTAGTGTCGAGACAGCTAGATTAGTTTATTTTAGTTATTTTCATAGCATAATGTCTTATGGGATTTTGCTATGGGGAAATGCGGCTGATTCAGAAACTATTTTTGTTTTTATTTATTTTATTTTATTTTATTTTATTTTATTTTATTTGGAAGACCAACAGCTATCATAATTAGGATAGATAGTATTAAAAACTACAGTAAGCCAGTTAAAGGTCCTCACTAATAGATACAAAGGTGAATTTACAACAGTGATAAACACGATTCAACACTCAAGAGTATCCAATTCTAACATATTTATGACAAATGAGGGCTTATCTGTAATAACATGTATTATACATATAAAAGAGAAAAAAAAAACACAAACATAGAAGAAGTAAATCGTTAGTTTTGTAACAAACGCATCAATATCTCACTTAGAGCTGAAAAATGCATTATTAAGTATGCGCTTGGCCGACGCATCGCTAGTGTTAAACAAATCGAAGTCAAACTCATTGGCTAACTTGTTAAAGTTATTGCTCGCTCGCCAAATAAATGTATTTTGTCTGTAATTTGTAGATGCAAACGGGAGACTTAAAAGTTTGTTGTGTCTAAGAGGTTTGGCAGGACAGCTAAGATGTAGTTGAGATAAAAGCTCAGGAGAGTCAATAGCACTACAGGCTATTTTTAACAGAAAAGTGAGATCAGCAATCTCGCGGCGCTTATCAAGAGGAAGAAGGTGATGCTTCTTACAATAACTAATATAATTATCAGAGGTATAGCGATAGTCTTTAGTTCTATAACAGAGGTAACGGATAAACTTTCTTTGGATATTTTCAAGTCGGGTAATATATGTTGCATACCTGGGATTCCAGATTTGAGATGCGTACTCTAAATTACTTCTTACAAGAGAACAATATAGGATCTTTAGAGTTTTAGGCTTAGTGAAATCCTTAGAGCTACGCATCAAAAATCCAAGAGATTTCGAAGATTTGGCTATAATGCTTTCTAAATGAGCGTCAAATATTGTCATGAAGAACACCGAGATCTCTAACAATGGAATCCCTTTTAAGATTTTCACCTTTTAGTTTGTAGTTAAAGACAATCGGTTTATATTTGCGACTATAGGACATAAAGCTACATTTAGAAAAATTCAAATCTAAGTAGTTTAGGTGGCAATAACGCTCTAAATTTGACAGATCTTCTTGTAAAGCTTCAGCATCATCAATCGATGTTATTTTCAAAAAGAGCTTCATATCGTCGGCAAAACATAATAAGCGAGCTTTCTTTAGATAAAAGGTAATGTCATTGATAAAAATAACAAATAATAACGGTCCCAGCAGTGAGCCCTGTGGCACCCCACTTGGAACAGTTACCCATCCTGATATGTAGTTGCTGACGACAACAGCTTGCGATCGATTATTTATATAAGACGTGAACCACCTAAGCAGATCGCCGTTTATACCGATCTTGGACAATTTCAGTAATAGCAAATTATGTTGTATTCTGTCAAAGGCTTTACTATAATCGGTATAAACGACGTCTACCTGGTGGCGATTGTCCATTGCTTCCGTCAAGAAAGCATTAAAGAGCGCAAGATTTGAAACAGTAGAGCGTCCTCTTAAAAAACCATGTTGAGTTGGATTGAATGAATGCTTTAGGCCCTCGTATAACTGATTATAAATAATTCGTTCAAACACTTTAGATACGATGCATAACTTTGAAATCGGTCGATAATTAGTAACTTCGGACTTGGAACCCTTTTTATGGACAGGCGTGATAAATGCGCGCTTCCAGATAGAAGGAACAATACCTGTACTAAGAGACTTTTTAAATAAAATGGTTAGAGGTACACAAATTGTATGCGCACAGTTAATTAGAAAATGAGCTGGAAGATTATCAGGACCAGCAGATTTCGTTGGATCCAACGTTTCAAGCAATTTATTGACCGTATTTTCGTTTATATCGATTGAGGTGATATCTACACTCAACTGAGACGACGTTGGAGAATCATTATAATAATTTTCGGACAGCTGAGTATTACTATCACCCGAATCCAAAAAATTTGAACGAAAATAATTTGAAAAAGCATTACAGATAAGTTCACCAGAGTTCATTACAGAACTTTCAAATTTAAGACAACTAGGTATTGAATGTGATTTTGATTTTTGTTTAACATACGACCAGAAGTGTTTAGGATTAGCACTAATCGAATTTTCCACAGAGGTTATGAAAGATTGGTATGCTAACTTTTCTAATTTCCTTACACGCTCACGCAATAGCTTAAAAGTTTCTTCGTCATGCCTACGGCCATAGATCCTAAATTTACGTAAAAATTTATGTTTTTCTTTAATAGCTTTTTTAAGTGGCACTGTATACCATTTAGGATAAGTATCAGCAACAATTAATTTTGAGGGGATATATTTATCTCTAAGTGACGTGAATGTGGTATAAAAATATTGCACAGATTCTTCTAACGATAACGGAGACATAACTTCATCCCATTGAATGTTGGCAATCTCACCATTTACTGAATAATAGTCACCTTTATGATATAAAAACTTAAGACGAGAATTGCTATTTAATGACTCACAATCAACTTTATCAAAATATATTAAAAGAGCACCATGGTAAGGATCAACAGGAATAAGAGAATCTGCACTTATATCACGAACGGTTACAGAGTCGCTAGAAAAAACAAGGTAAAGGATCCTGCCATGGGCATTTTTTATACCATTAAATTGTCTCAAATTTAGTGAACTTAATTCGTCTATTAATGAAGTTTCGTTTCCCGAACGAATATTTGTACCTAAAAATGAACCGTCGGCGGCGTCAGTGTCAGGCACCCATGTAATATCACTAAGATTAAAGTCGCCAACTAATAAAAAACTATCGTCCGAGTGACTCATCACAATTTCGCTAACCGAGTGCAGATAATTTTGAAGTTGAGCAGCAAAACTGAGACTCCGATTTTCGTTACACAAATATAAGATACAAATATGCAAATTCGTGTGCTTTTTACGGGTGTTATGGTGAATAGACAACGTTAACCATAGATCCTCAGCACTTGAATGAAAGGAAGGCTGCGGAATAATTTCTAGATCCTTACGCGTCGCAATCAAAACGCCACCACCGTATTTCTGACCAGTAACTGTATAATTTCTATCACGCCGCCATACAACATATCGGTTATCAAATAATTCCGTATCACTAATTCTGTCCAGGAGCCAAGTCTCCGTAATTAATATTATTTCATAATCACATATAAGAATATTACGATAAAATATGTCCGTTTTAGTGCGCAAGCCTCTTGCGTTCTGATAATATATTCTCAGGTTGTCACTGCCACACCCTACACCTACACTATTATTATATAGCACAGCCATTTTTAATCCTATCGATAACCAAAGTAATTTTACTATAATAAAATAATATATATATCCCGTCATATTTCAAAAACCCGTTAATTAAAGTAATAAACAATGCACCAATATTTAAAAATTCACTAAGGCTATGATAAGTTAGAATATAGTATTTACAAAAGGTTGAAAAAATAAAAATGTATCACGTAATGAGTGCGAAGTGTGTTGCATACTTAAACGACCGTCAACAGAAGCGAGCAACTGATAACCGGTAAGCAAATTTAACAAATAGCGATGCATCAACGAAGCAGGTAAGGCAGGGGTAACATGCATTTTGTAACTGTTTAAAAGCAGCTTCGTAATATCATAAAAGTAAAACTTAATTATACATAGGTAAGAATAGTTAATAAAATTAAAAGAGATAATAAACAAAGATATTAATAAACAATAGATTAAGCTATTTTGTTTAAATCAGCCTCTTTTGCAATAATTAAAACCGGCGAAGTATCATTTTTACGTATATGAATTTTTCCGTATTTGACCCAGATATAAGAATAACCTCGGTCTTTTGCTAAGGTCCTTGTTTTGGTAAGAAGTTTTTTGTGCTCTGGAGTCAAATGATCATTTACGAAGACGCGCTGACGATTGCCTCCAAATCCAACATCCTTCGCCTCTAGAGTTTTGCACGCGCGCGCTGCCGCTACAAATTCTTCTTTGACATAACGATTTATGAAATTAATAATGATGGCCTTATCTTTGGTATTAAACATTGGTACTCGGGATATGTAATTGATTTGAGATTTATGGAATTCATACCCAACTGCTTTACCCATAGACTCCGCGATTTCAAATAAGTTTTCATTGGGCTTTAGAGGGATGCCCTTTACCTCAACATTACTAAGCCGTGACCATTGTTCCTTTGTCTGAATAACACTTTTAAGATTTGATATCTCCTTGTTGGCCACAGCGAGAGAATTTTGAATCTTTTCTATCTGAGATACACCACGTTCCAAACTGGAGACTTGATCTTGAAAAGATTTAAGTGAACTATAGTTGTACTCACAAGACTCCTTCAGATGGTTTAATTCAACTTTAATAGATTTGATGTCCTCGATAAGACTTGCAAATGTAGTAACCAGCTTCTTCATCTCGCGAATCTCCTTAAGAATAACATCCAAGGTCGCCGACTGCCCACCAGTATCGCCACCAGGAGTGACCTCGGAACTTGAACGGGAGGGGCTGAAGGAAACCATTTTGCATTGAAGGCATTTCCATTGAGCTCTTCAATCTGCTCCTAGGTTCCGAAAACCTCGCTCCGTTATACCAGCACAACCAAAGTCGTAGCGCTTTTTACAAACGTAGCATTGCGCTCCATCGTTGAACTCTTTTGAACATGATTCACAGATATTCATCGTTGAAGTAACAGTATCAATGACTACAGTTACGAAGAAAAAAGGTTGGTGATATATGCTGTATATCGTATGACGTAGATAGTGGATACGTAAACAAGAGTGCAATCTTAAACTATACGCGTGCGCCTGTGTCGTGCGCTCACTGCAGACTGAAAGTTTTACAGAAGAGGGCCATTAGAGCTATTTACAATCTAAAACCGAGAGAGTCTCTTAGAGATAAATTTAAAGAAATTAATATATTAACTTTGGCCTCTCAGTATATTTACGAAAATTTAATGTATGTTCACAAAAACAAAGATAGTTTTAGTAAAAGAAGTGATATACATTCTGTAAACACTAGGAACAAACACAAGCTAGTGATACCAGTTTCTCGACTCCACAGAGTCAGTAATTCATTCTTGGGGCAATGTATACGCTATTACAACAAGGTCCCGGAAAGTGTACAGGTTCTCTCTATTACCAAGTTTAAATGTTTTATTAAGCTGAAATTGTATAAAAAGGGTTATTATAGTATAAATGAATACATGATTGATAATAACCCCTGGGAATGAGGTGATCGCTTCCAAGCAGTTTCTAAAATAAATTTTGTAAATAGTTCGTAATCATTTATATTGTAAAATTTATTTTTAAAAAAAGTCCCGCTGGGTTTCTTGCTGGTTCTTCCCAGGACAGAGGGTTTTTTTCGAACCAGTGGTAAAGTTAAAAATGACTTTCAATAAGAATTACACATGTAATGTATATTGAATAAAAAATATTCTATTCTATTCTATTCTATTCTATTTGTGTTTTATTTTTTTTTTTCATTATTTTTTTTTAGTTTTATAATTTCTAAATATTATGAAATTGTAGTAGGTAACTTTGATATAACTATCTTTTATTTTCTTTTGTTTATTATAATTAACTGTATTTGTATAGGTGATAGTGCATAATAATATATAGTTTTAAGAGCGTGTACTCGCCGACAAACTGATTGCAGTTTGGCGAGGGAATAGTAAAAATAATGTACTTACCTTTGTATGAATAAATATATTGAAAAAAAATAGTGGGTCCAACAAAAGGTTCCAAAATATTGGACTCCCTATCGAGCCCTGCACACACCCTTTTATTGTCTTTTTATTCCATTGTGCCCCAGCATACCTGACGCTAACCATTCTATCCTTAAGATAGTTCAGGTTTACTGGGCACGCTGTTTCCGAGAGTCTACATTTTATTGCAGGCCACCATGCATTATCGAAGGCTCCCTCTATGTCTAATGATATGAGCAGGATAAGTTTTTTGTCCGTTAGCTTAGTTCTTATCAACTGCATCATATCATAGAGGGAGTCTTCGGTACTGCGCTGCGGCATAAACCCATATTGCTGTCGGCCTATTGTTGGTATAATTTACCACTTTTTTCTTCGAATTATCAATTTTTCAAAAAATTTCCCCAGTACAGGCAATAGCCCAATCGGCCTGTATGATTTAGGGTGTGCGTAATTATCCTTCCCAGGCTTCCGCAGTACTACCACTGTGGCCTTCTTCCACCGGATGGGAAAGTATGTGAGACTGAGACATTTATTTAATAGTGCCAAGAACAATGGTGAGCCTAGGGCGATTACCACCCCACAAATGTCTGCAGTAAGTCCGTCGTCTCCTGGCGCGTTATTTGGTTTGAAGCTTGACACGGACCACATCAGCTCATTTTCCGTAAAGGGCAGGTCACATGGACTATCATGTGTCCATTCGTTCACGGTATTTGCAATTTCCCTTATTTGTGTGTGGTCCATGTCGTCATCTTCAGTTTTATCCTCGGGATAAAAAGACTCCGCCAGGATCCTAGCTGACTTTTCACCTTCTCCTCTCCAATAAAACCTTTCCGTTAGAGACAAGTGGAGTATCCTCCTGTCGCACCATTGTGCGGTTTATTTTTTTTTCTCTTTATTTGGTATACAAAACAGAACACAATTTCAACATGCTAACAGGTATTATAAAAAACAAAGATTTCACAAATTGTATTCTAATATATATGTAGACACAGCTTGCACATAATGTACAACATGTGATTAATAATAAAGTTTGGTACTTAAAGTTATGTTATAATCATGCTAAATTAAATACCAAATTAAATTAAATTAAGACTAAATTAAATTAAGGCTAAATTAAATTACATACTTGGAATAAAGATACTGTAATAATTTGTTTTTTGTGGAGGCCACTGAACCCATGAAAACATCCACTTCAGATCGAACAATGTTACTGGATGAACACATGCGGTATAATGGCGAATGTTGTCCGAGAACGGTTCTACAAAGTGGAAGACTAAATGTTTTACGATTATGAAGGCGACTATTAGCACGAGGTATTAAGAATTGTATGTGCTCTAAAATTATTGATGAGTCAATATAACCATTAATCAATTTATACAAAAACATTATATCAAACATTTTCCTACGCATTTGCAACGGAACCATTTTAAAATGTTTTAGCCGATCTTTGTAGGAATGAAGTTTATGGCATTTGTTCTCGGCATAGCTAAGAACATACAAAAAACGTTTTTGAACACGCTCTATTCGCTCAGAGTGGATGGTATATATAGGATTCCAAACAACACTGCAGTACTCCAAATGGCTTCTAACGAGAGAATTGTAAATAGTTATGGTTAGTCCACTATTTTTAAAAATATTCATTTGCCTACAAATAAAGCCTGAGAGTCTTGAAGATTTTTTAATTATGTAATCAAAATGGTGTCGAAAAGAAAGAGTAGTATCTACAAAAAACCCCAAATCTCGCAAGCAAGACACTTCTTTTATGACACTGTCACCAATAAAATACTCAGCTGTGTAACTCTTCTTTTTCTGCTAAATTTTATATGGTAACATTTTTGTGTATTTAGTATCATGAGGTTATCCCTACACCATCTATCAATTTTATCGAGATCTTGCTGTAAGGCGACAATATCATGGACACTTTTTATAGTTCGATAAGTTTTTAAGTCGTCTGCATACATTTTGAATTTGCAATTAAGGGTTTTACCTATATCGTTTATGAATATCAAGAAAACTAACGGACCAAGATGAGAACCTTGAGGAACACCAGAAAGGATTTCACTAGAGAATGACTTAAAACCATTAATATAAATAAGTTGTGAACGGTTCCTCAAGTATGATTCACACCATCTAAGCAGTGTTCCATGAATACCCATTGCTTCCAGCTTAAGCATTAATATGTCATGATTTACGACATCAAATGCCTTACGAAAATCAGTATATATGGCGTGAACTTCTTCTCCGTTATCAATAGCATCAGAAATGTCCAATATATAACTTACAAGGTTAGAAGCTGTTGATCTTTTTGGAAAAAACCCATATTGGTTATGGCTTATTTGGTTTTTGACGTGACTTAGTATTATTTTATGTACTAGTGCTTCTAATACTTTTTCACAAAGAGGTAGCAATTAAATTGGTCTATAATTAGTTACGTCATCAATATTACCAGATTTATAAATTGGAGTTATACTGGCAATTTTCCACTGATGAGGAAAGATACCAGAAGAAAGGGACCTATTAAAAATTCTAGAAAGATGTTTACACAAGCAACTCGCACAGATCTTGAAAAAAATAGGAGGAAGGGAATCGGTACTCGTACTCTTGTTACTATCGAGGGATTGTAAATATTCACGTATCTCTTGCTCCTCTAAATGAAAACCGTAAAGTGACATGCTAGAGGATATTGTTCCACATAAATCATCTCTAGAGTATGTTTGCTTGTTACTTTTTTTATATACAGACTGAAAATATTCTGCAAATAGATTACTAATATCTTTACCACCCTTTGACCGCTTGTCATTATATTTCATTTCATTAAGTATAGAAGCAGAATTTGATTTTTACTTTTGAATATTTGCCAAAAGTATTTAGGGTTACTCTGTAAATGGCTTACGGTATGCATTTTAAAGTTAGCATAACATTCCTTTATAAGTCGATTAGACCTAGCTCTCAATAGGTTGTAAGTGAGTTTGTCCAATGTGTTCCCATATTTTTTAAACCGACAGTGTACTTTCGATATTTGTTTAAGAGCCTTGATTAAGGAAGATGTAAACCATGGAGGATAATTCTTATTTCTCGGTTTAAATAAAGGAGTATGTTTTTTACAAAAATACATTATTGTTTCATTAAACACATTAACCATATCATTGACATCTGCTGAATCCTGCCATAAAACACTCCAGTCAATCGTCTCTAATTCCTTAATTAAAGCTTCATAATCAGTTCTAAAAAAGGTGTACGTCGGCTCCGGTTTTGACTTTAGTATGTTTTGTGAGTTTTTTTGGAATTCTATTTCAATCGCAGGGTGATGTTCATCTAATGAAATTAATGGTATATTAGCTTTCTGCACCGAAACACATGCCCTATTATTTGATAATATCAAATCAAGAATTCGGTTATTTTTATTTAATATATTATTGCATTGGTTCGAATTGTTAAATGACATAGCATCCAGAAATAAGTTCTCCAAATTACCATTAGCTATCGGTACTAATTTATTGTCATTATCAGTATGCCATAATACGAGTATCTTGTTTAAATTAAAATCTCCGACAATAAATGTATTATCAACATCAGCATGCATTACTCTAGTTAAATTGTCCAAATAAGTTGTGACGTAATCCTCATTTAAGGGGGGTGGAAAGTAAACAGTACTTATATTAATATATTTGTTGCCGAATTTTAAGGACAACCACATATCTTCACACGTAGATTCTCAACCGTTTTTTCTATAAACTTGATACTTTTTCAGAACCGCTATTAACACTCCCCCGCCATCTTTTTTAGTTTTATGAGATGAAGTTGTATACCTATCACGTCTGAGCAACTCATGATCAAAAACAGTATCATTTAACCAAGATTCTGTTAAAATAATAACATCGTAATTATTTGATAAAACAGAAACATATATGTGCTCAGTTTTAGTTCGGAGGCCCCTAACATTCTGATAATATAACTAAGTTTGAATTTGAATGA